ACTGAGAAAGAATCAGCAGCCTCCTTTCAGGGCAGAAAGGAGGAGGAGGGTTAGTGGGGTGCAGAGAGAGCGGGGGAGCCAGGGATCGGTGAGGGAAGAACAGCGGGAGTCCCGGAGGCAGTGGGGCCAGACCACTATGCAGGGCCTGGGGAAGGCAGCAGTTATGTGCCGTGTGTTCCAGATAGGGTACAGCATAGGGACAAAGGTCCTCGGGGGGGGGGGGGGGGGGGGGCTGGGCACAGTCCTGGAGAGATAACAAGGCCAGGGCCAGGGCCAGGGAGGGGACAGTCCCTTGCGGCTGAGCTGGCTAGGGAAGTGGTCCAACAAGGCAGCCCTCCATCCCCCTGCTTTCTTTCTGGCCTGCCTGGCTCCCTAAGGACAGGACAGCTGGCCATACACCTGGTGGCTGGCCCTCCCTGCAAGGCTAGGAACCCTGGCTCTTCTGAAGGCAGGGCGGGTTAAGGGCCCATTCCCCCACCAACCATGGACGAAGGAAGGCTCCTGGAGCAGCCAGGCTGGGCCAAAAGAGGAAATCAAGAAAACAGAAACTTTCAAACCCAGAGCTGCCAATCAAAGCAGGGGAAGTGCAGGCAGTCTCTTGTGACAGAGCCGTGTGGGGCTGGGGGTGGACAGGTCGTCAGCTAGTGGCCTATCCACTCCCACTACTGCCCGCCGTGAGCTGCCAGACCGAACCCCTGGGCTGAGCTTCACATTTCACCTTGCCTGGCCCTCCTCAAAAAACAGAGCCCAGCTTTCCCTGCTACCCCCAGGGCCCCACCCTCAGCCCAGATAGTGATATCCACCGATACCCCCACTGTCCCCCTCTATCTCCGCACTTCTTCTGTCTCTGCAGAGGAAGAGCAGGAGGAGACAGAGTTGAAGGACAGAACTTCTCACCTGGAGACTGCTCTGCGGTCAGAAGTCAATGGGGAAAGCCTTGGTTTCCCTGGACCTAGCCCCAGCCTCCCACCAGGGAGCTGTGATGGGGCTATGGCCTTACCAGCACTGGAGGCCCTTCTCCAGTGGATGTGGACTTCCTCCCCACTGCTGGGACAGCCACAGGATGACAGGTGTCCCCTCACCTATGCCCAGCTGGACAAGTTTCTTGCAGGAGCCCCCAGGTCCAGTCAGACTCAACGCCTCCCTATTGGGGTCCCCTCACATGGCTTCTCTCCTCTCTGTGGTCCTAGCTTTAAGTTATTCTGTTTAAAAATCCTGTTAAGTGGGGTGCTTCCTCCGGTTCCTTCCCTCCCCCAGCTGACTCACTCCTCCTGCCATTTTGGCTTGCTACCTATTCCAGGAAGCCCTCCCTGATTGGGAAAATTGGGTTAGGCATCTCCTCAGTGCCCACAGCTGCCCTCTGTTATGCATTCTGCTGTACCTGAAGGTTTATCTGTCCCTCTCCATCTACACTGAGAAGTCTACACGGGCACAGAATCATCTTGTTCCTCATCATTGGATCCCAGCTCAGCCCCAAGACCAGTACAAGGTTGGCCCCAGCAAATGTTTGCTGAATGAGTATGTCCACCCTTGAGGCCACAAGTTAATGAGCCATTTCCTTCAACTGATCCTCAGCCTTTGGCCCATGAAAGAAAAAGATAGGAAAGAACACTAAACTTAAGGGTTTCCCCTGACTTCCCAGGTTTCAATTTCCCCTCCAGATTTCTCGAAATCTAAGACTTAAACCAGCCACCACAGACTCTGCCCAGCCCCTCCCATTCCAGAGATGGGAGACATTAGATCAGAAATCCTACGACATTAGATCTCAGAAGAGGATGAGCCCCCTTCTGCTACCCTCTTTGGGCACTGGGGGAAACTGACATTCAGTAAAAGACAAAGACTTGCCCAGAGTCACAGAGCCAATTAGGTCACAGCCTGAACCAGGCTCCGACCTCCCAACTCCTTCCCTCTACCACAGCCAACCTTGGGCCTGTGCCAGCATCCATTCCACCAGACCTGCTCTCTGAATCTGCACTATCCAGGACAGAGGGGTCACAGAGCTTGGTAGGAAGCTCCTGGTGACCTCACCAAGCATCTCTCTTGGCTTAGGAAACTCCCCCTCTCCTCTGAGGAATTGTCCCCGCTCCATGACGCTCTGCATAGGGAGTTCACCTTGAAAGTGATAAACATATCTAAGCCCCCAAGGGGGCAAGGATTTCCACTGGAAATGCTGATGCTTGGGGAGCCCCAGATGTGACCTCATCCTGTGGAGGAGGTAACAACAATCTCCTGCCCTGGGGAGCAGCCCCAGAATGGCTCCCCAGCAGCCACCAAGTCAACAATAACATCCCGTTGTTTATTTGGACAAAAGAGAGGGAGGGCAGAACCAGCCAGGCACGTCAAGACTGAGGATGTGACTGTTTCCCCATGGACAGGCTGGCTCACAGCTGACCTTGGGGTTCAGGACCTTCCAAGCCTTCTCTAACTCCTCCAACAGCTGATGAAATGGCGGAGGGGTACACAGCTTACACAGGCATGCCAACCTTCTGCTAAGTCCCAGCCCTCACCTACAATCTATTCCCTTCCAGTCCCTGCTTGCAGGAAGATGAGGACCACACATGCACAACCTTGACCGGCCCATGTGGCAGTGACAGCCCTTGGGGGACAACCCCCAGGGTCTTTCTTGCTCTGGTAAACTCTAAGGGTCAAAGACAGGTGCGGAGCTCAAGGACACCCAGCAGGTACATGATGGCCCATCCATCTCCCTGGCCTGAGCTACACTGTGCCGGACTTTTGTCAGGCTGCGGAGGCAGCAACCTCTCTGATCAGTGCAGGCTGGCCCCTTTCAGAGTTCCCTGCTTTAATCTTTCCCTAGAACTTGGGGATTCAAGCAGCAGAAAATAAAGAACTTTCCATACCTATTCCAGTCCCCACAGCTGTCCTGACTCAAAACTAAAATCCCAATCTATGCCTCATAGAGAAATGGCTCCAGAACCACCACCATCCCTGATTTTGTCATTCCTGGACACCACCATACCCCCCCCCCCCCACTGGTAGACAGAGCTCTAGGCTTCCAGCAAGACCCCCTCCTTACCCTATTCCTGGGTTTGTCCTACCCAAGCCCATTCCTGTCCGATTGCCATGTGTCACCCCACAGGAGGCAGGAGGCAGCTGTCAGTCGGGCACACCATCACCAGCTGGTGGCCCTGGGGGTGGGGGGCAGGTGAATGGCAGGGCCTGTCTGGCCAGTGGGGCACCTGGCACTGGTGAAGGAGACCACAGGCTGTCGTTAGACAAGACTGGTAAGCGTCTGGCAGACCCCCGGCCAGTGGGGCTCAATAGTGCATTACTAAGCAGAGGGCACAGCCAGTGTGGCTACAGCAGTGAACTGCAGGCAGGGGAGGCAGGGCATGGAGCTGGGCTGGGAGCTTTGAAAAGTGGGTAAGAGGACTTCGAGCAGCCTCAGGCTGCTGAACTAAGTGCCCAGGATGGGATGTGTGCATTAAGCGCTAAAAAGTGGGTATGCATTAAGTGAGGTGGGGTGGGGGGTCACGGGAAGACTGTGGGACAGGCACACAGAGCCAAAATGCAAGGGATTTGATGCAGGGAAAGATTCCAGAACACTCAGACATGGCCATTTGTCCCCCCCAGAGTGCCCATACGCTATGATGTCCAAGACAGCCAAGGGTAGTGAGGTAAGGCAAAGCTGCTGGGAGGGTAAAGGAAGCCTGGGCTGGAGCTGGGAAGGCAGAGTGGTGTGTGGGCCTCCTCCATGCACCCCAGGCAAAGCTCCAGCAGTGCTGCTCGGCTCCCTACAGGAGCACCTCAGGCTGCACAGCCGGAGCTGGTCCCCAGAGCATCTCATTCATTGTCCCAGAACCATTTACTTCCTTCTCCTCTCCCTAACCCAGAACCCAGACTGGTCCGGTGGCAGATCAGAGCCCCTGCCTGCACCTGAGCTCCCACACTGCTCAGTGACCTTGGGCAAGTCACATTTCCTCAGCGACTGCGGCAGTTCTGGCCACTCGTTTTGTGTGTGGTTTTTTTCCCCTCTGCTAATAATACCTGCCCCAGATAATGCTCAGACTCCCGCAATCCCTGCAAACTGCCAAAGGCATCAAAAGGCTCCCGGTGGGGCCAGACCCGACCAGTCCCCCAGCCCCCACAGCGAGTCCCCTACCACCACCACAGGGGGGCCGCAGAGATTTCAAATTTGGGGACAGAGCCGAGTCGGCCTGGGGGCGGGGAGGCATTTGTGTGCAATGCAGGGGAGGGGAGATCAGTTCCTCGTGGCAGAAAGCCTCAAACCCCCGCCTAGCTGGCTTTCTATCCCATAGTACAGTGTCTAAACTGAGGTGCCCTGGGGGAGACTCCAGTCCCCCAGCTTCTCATATGTACTCTGGCCTAAAGGCTGCACCCCCGCTCGAGATCCACCACCTGGGGGTCCTAACGGCCGTGCCCCACCCAATGGGCACTGACCCCCAACACTGGAGCCAATTTCTGGTGACAACTGCCACGTTCGGGCAAGGGGGGAGCGGCCGGTCCCGGCATTGCAGAGGCAGCGCCCCGGTACCCCAAGCCCCCCCTCCTGCACCGCACCACATCCCACTGCCTCGCCGCAGGGTGCCCACCCTCTTGTCTGGCCCTCGCTCCGGGCCGGGGCAGGGGCGGGGGCAGGCGGCGGGGTCTTTGTTCCCGCTGCCGAAGCGCAGCGGCGGCGACAGCGGCGGCAAAGGGTCTGCACCCCCTTCACCGGCCCAGCCTGCGCCCCGTGCGCCAGCAGAGCCCACAGGTCAAGAGGAGGGGACCGAGGTTGGGGTCGCGGGTGGGGAAAGGGTCCTGGGCCAAAGCCCCCACGCCAGAGGACCCAGAGTGGCTTGGGGCCGAGAGAGGGGCCCGCCCCCTCCCCTGGCGCCCGGGCGTTGCGGCTCCCAGCTGCCAGAGACTTGGAGCGACTTAGCCTGGGCTCCGGCCCCCGCAGCTAGCTCGCCGCAGCTTTACAGCCGGCTCTAGCGTGCCAGCGCGCACACACACACACACACACACACACACACACTCACCCAAACCCCCACGCTCCACGCGGGGACAGCTCGGGGACAGCCCGGGACCCGCAGAGCCGCACGCATGCACTCCCTCCCGGTGCAGTACACTCCATACCCACCCTGCGCAGCGTCCGATCCCGTGCCCGACTCACCGCGCGGCGCCGCCTACCTTTCCAGACCGCGAAGATGCGGGGTCCGCTCCTCGGGTGGCCTTGGGCGGAGGCGGCAGCTGCCCAGAGCAGAAGCAGTAGCCGCAGCAGGAGCCCGGACCGAGCCGGTGGGCCAGGGACGCGGGAGCGCGGTGCGCTGGGGGCGGCGGGCGGAGGAGGCGTCATCCCGCGGCCCCGGGAGCGACAGCAGCAATCAGCCGAGACTGAGCCAGCGCCCGGCCGCAGGCAGACCCAAGCGCCAGGAGGCGGAGCCAGCGCTGACCCCACCCCGCCCCTCCCCCGCCCCTCCTCGGCTCCTCACAGCCTTTTTTCGCCTTCCTGGCTTTCCAGAGCTAGAGCGGAGCTTCTGGGGGAACCTTAGCCACCCGCTCCCGGGCAACTCCACAGGGAGAACCCGGCTGCGGACAAGCCAGACTTGTGGTCTTCTGCCAGGAATGGCAGGCCCTATCCCCTCTCTGGGCCTCAGTTCCACTCCACGCACCCCATAAAAAGATTGGCCTAGAAGTCGTGGAGGAGCTCTCCAAGGGCGCAGAGGAGTCCAGCACCCAACAACCTTGCTATGGCCAGCTAAGTGGTTCGCACGCTGAGGACTACGGTCCTCGGAGAACCGGTTCGCCTGAGTGGGCACGGCTCCCTGCTGAGCCTACCAGCAGGCACAATGATGATGTGTGGGGAGCACTCAGGGACCCGCTATTGCTCTGCCAGGGAGAACACTGGAAATTTTTCATCTTGGCCTGGCTCCTTCCCCTCCCTCTCCTTTCTCCTCCCTTCCCCAGCCAGCAGCCTTCTGGGCTGCCTCCCCCCCCCAGCCAGCTGGTGTACTCTCAGAAAATCCAAACTCATTTCCATGTGAGTGGAGGGGAATATAATTAGGAAGGCCCCTTCCCCAAGTAGAGAGGGGAGCATCCCCCATGCCCAAGTCTGTGGGGGAGGGAGGGTCAGAGCAGCTTAAGGGATCTCTGCCCACAAAGTGCTTGGCTATCTCAGGCAACCTGACCATTCAGTGGGGACTCCCTGGGGAGCTCCAGGCCTAGACCCCCTGCAGTTACCTGAGCAGCCCAGCCAGCTCTGCCCACAGCTCCTCCTCTCAGAACCACGTACCTGCCCTTTGTAAAAGGGTCTCCTCTCTCAGACCAGAGAGGGCCCAGACCTACCACCTCTGCTTGTGCCTCAAGGAACCATGAATGGAAAATCCACCCAGCTCAGTAAGTACTTATCTAGTGTTTACTGGATGTCTAGCCCAAGGAGGGCTACACTGAGAGGAGACAGGCTGACGAAGGAGCAGAGGTGAATATCCAAACTCCAGAACTCACAGACCTGACTACGATTCACCTGCTGCAGACACCAGTGAAGGCAGTGGGTGGGCTGCCCTGGCCGCCCTCTGCCCTGCTCCATGGGCCTGGAACCGTTCTGTTGTTGTTTTTACCTCCTGGAACCAGGAAAGTTTTGCTACCAAGAAGTTTGGCTTTCCCATTCTACATTTTGCTTCCAGTTGTCCCCTCCTTCCCTGAGAACTCCAAGGCACGCCAGCAGGCCAGGAAGATAAAATCAAGGTACAGAGACAGTGCAGAGTGAGGTTCCTCGTCCACTGGGAGAAGCCAACAGCCTCATAATGCCCAGAGGCACACTGCCCCAGAGAGGGAGGCTGTGACAGTCTGAGAGCTCCTCCCCAGAGCTGCACCTAAAACTGTGCCCCTGAAGCCAGCAGTGCAGCCTGGCCCAGGCCAGCCTCTAAGATGGACACTCGGTTTCATCTGCTACATAGATATGGCCCTCAGTGTCTGTCCTTTCTATGCAAAGCTTGGGCAAACTAAGAAATCACCTGTCTCTGCCTTTTGGAACTAAGAATTTAAATGGATTCAAAGTCAATGGTAACATTGCCCATGTGCATGGCAACTCACAGCATGTAACCCACATTCACCTGCATCATCGCTGCCAGTCCTCCACTCTTCCTCTCACTGAGGGAGGGAGCATAACTCCATTTCAGAGAAGGAAACTGAGATACGGGGAGGGGCAGGGACAGACCTGCCCAAGGTCAACTGGTAAATGGTAGAAAGAGGATGGGTTTTCTGACTGCAGTAACAATTGCTAACACTGTGCTGTGCCATCTCATAGCCTCAACTGAACTCAGCCTTTAAGCTACTATGAGATAGGAGCTATTAGTCACCTCCCTTTACAAATGAAGAAATCAAGGCACAGTCCAGGGATGTGAAGTGCCAGGATCACACAACTGGTTAGAGGCAGGACGGATTGAAACTCAGGTGATTTCTCAGGGGCCCGTACCCTTGACTGTGGCTGAAGTCTGGGTCCAAACCATCCCCAGAAGGACCTAGACAGGACCCAGGTCATCAGGTGCTGGGCAGGAGGGCAGAACAGGGAATGGGCTCAGTCTCCCAATCAACAGAGCAGCAGATGGAAACTGGGGTAGATGCCAGGTAATTTTTTCCAGACTTGGGGGTAGCGGGGAAGGAAACAGTACTGAAGACCATCCTCCCCACAAGCCAGCCAACCTGAGGGCAAAGGGCCAGGCCAGATGGCAGCCCACTCTCTTGGTTGGCTGCAGACAGCCAGGGGAGGAGAGAACTAGGCTCATGACTTGAGGCAATAGCTTTATAAAGGGAAAGGCAGCGAGACTGTGGGGCAAAAGGGGGGAGCAGGCATTATGACCAGTTTAGGCATGGACTTCCCTGCCTCAGGCAGCACAGGAAAATCAAGTCAGAATGGCATAGGTGGTATCACGGGCCTGCCAGCCTCACTGGAGGCCACGGCTGGCTCTTGAGCCTGGATGGAGAACAGGGGCACAATTCCCACTCACAGCCAGTGATGGCAAGTAGGCCAGCAGAGGAAGCAACAGATGTGGATGCTGACATGTCTGCACATTCTTGTCCCTCCCTTCCCCGTGAGTTCACATTCACGGGAGGGAAGAAGGCTTAGAGAAAGAAATGGTGCAGAGCTTCTATCTCTAAGAAAAATACCTTAAAGAGACCATTTCCTGAGCCCCATGGACAGGTGAGGCACAGCCCAATGCAAGAAGGCCCCTTGTGGAATGAAAGAAATGGACACACACAGACTGGAGATTCACGGTCCTGAAGCAGGAGCAGAAGCCCTAGGCAATCTCCCCAACACTCCAACTAAAGCCTCTCACCTTACAGGGCCCAACCAGGGTTCTCTGACCTCCTCCTCAGCCCTGATTCCATGGCTACACATGGCCTTCGCAGGAGGGATCCACCCCAAACAAGAGGCCTGTGGGAGGTAGAAGGATTCCGTGAGGCGGTTAACATTTGCAGACGTGAGGTTACCCACACACAGTTCACTTCCTTTCATAGACATGATGATCCAAGAATCCCAATTCTTAGGATTAGAAGTAGCTCTCAGAAGGCATTCAATCCCCAACAGCCCCCTCCATGCTAGACCGCACCCCTGCTGTGTGGCTTGGTGGCCACACAGACCTCCTGGCTATTAACAGCAGCAACGATTCCTATTGGCTGCCACCATTACTACCTATTGCAGGGGGCGAGACTAGGCAGTGATGACAATGAGGGGAGTGGGTGGGCTGGGGTCTGCAGAACCCTGCCCTGTCTATAAAGCAATTTTGACTCAGCTCCAGTCCATGGAACCATGAAGAAGTACACCCAGTAGTGAAAGGTAGTGAGATCTTCAACAGAAGCTGAAAATTGAGGGGTGGGCACAGTGGCTCACACCTGTAATCCCAGCACTTTGGGAGGCCTAGGTGGGTGGATCACCTGAGGTCAGGAGTTCAAGACCAGCCTGGCCAACATGGTGAAACACCATCTCTACTAAAAAATATAAAAATTAGCCAGGTATGGTGGTGAGCACCTGTAATTCCAGCTACTTGGGAGCCTGAAGCAGGAGAATCACTTGAACCCAGGAGGCAGAGGTTACAGTGAGCTGAGATCACACCACTGCACTCCAGTCTGGGCAACAAGAGCAAAATTCTGTCTCAAAAAAAAGAAAAGAAAATTGAGTCTTTTTTGAAACTCTCACTTTTAAAATATTGGAAAATAATTCCAAAGTTAAAGAGGATGGATATGGGCAAATAAAAACAGGTCTGAGGCCCATATCTGGGAATTCCAACATACTGTGTGCCTACTGTGACTATCTCACAGGCACAGGCACAGGCACGACAGCCACTGTACTGGCCCAGCTCTTGGCAGACCATGTCAGGGGAGGAGTCCTCAGAAGATTCTTCTTAGGCTGCGCAGGCCATTCCTGACCCTCCCCTCAGTGCTCTGCCTGCCTGTTAGCCTCAGCCAGGACATTCCCCTCTGGTGCCTGCCTCTTCCTCCTAGGCCAGTTCAGAGATTATCACCTTCTGGACATCTGTTCAGTCCACCAAGATTACACCACTGCACTCCAGCCTGAGCAACAGAGCAAAACTCCATCTCAAAAAAAAAAAAAGTAAAAATCTGAAGAGGAATATTCAGTCGGTGGAGAAGGGACAGATTTTTCTCCTTCTATCGGGGCACTCTGCTCACCTGAAAACACGACAGGTCCTCCTGTGCTTTCCAGAGACAGCCCAGCAACATCCTTAGCCCCAAACTTAGCCAACATGGCACTGGGCTTATGGTGGGAGTGCCACCTGGTGGCCACTCTGGAACAGAGCTGAGACTTAGCAGAGACTAAGTGCTTCTCTACTCTGTCCTACTCATACATTCTGCATGCACTTTTGTATGACAGAAACTCCTAAAACTTCCTGGAGACAAGCTTCTCCCTCCCATTCCTATGCCCAAAATCCATCTCTGAGCCTCTATTCTCACTGTCCAAGGCCCGAGGCAGGGCAGGATCTCATAAACATCATATGGAAACCATCTAGACTAACAAAATCTGACTAGACATGGCTGGAAGGCCAAAGATTACCTGTCAGCCTAGATACTGACTTAAGGAAGGCCCTGACCAGTCCAAGCCTCTGTTTCTTTGTGTACAAAATGAGAAAGAG